TTTCGTCTATTCTATTATACCCTATCCTGGCATTTGCAATATTATTTTCATTTGACTTTGGAAAACGAATGTTAAACACAATCGAGAATTTATAAATTAAGGAAATGATTTATACGTATGTAACCTCAGGTGTCTATGTTTTAACATTTAAAGTTCTAATTTTAAATCACACTTTAAATTACTACATCAATATTAGGATTGAATTTTAATATTTAGAACTATAGTTCTAAATATTCATGCAAATTCAGATCGATGTTGTAAGAGTTTTCCAACTACAAAATCTTCTTCATTTCTTATATTATTAATTTGAATCAAATTATCATTATTACAATAAAAGCCCAGACATTCCAATTTCCTAGCTACTATGGCAAAACAAAATTAATTGATATTCTCATTATTTTACTCGCAATAAAATTCAATTAATGTGAGTTATTATTTACGTCTCACGAGTAATATTCCATTATCCCTCTTTCTATGTACTTTGAAAATGGCTTCAATAGCAACAAGTTGCAACGTCGTTAATTAAACTGCTTGCAATAAAACCTGAATTGCACGGTCATTCATTTTTACACAAGCAAGCTTCCTTCGGCGAAGTTTATACCCTCATAAATTTCACGCACATGTAACTGTAATTATCCTGATGTGCTCTTACTGACTTGTAACGGGTTAAGCTTGAATGCTTGCTGATTGATAATAACCAATCACAGTAAAAGGTATTAACTTCCCTTTGCCAATTCTAATTTAACGATGATTCTCAAACGCGTTCATAACGCGTTTGATTATGCGACGTGGCTTTCGGCGACTGATTAATTTTGGGTCCCATCTACCAGGTAATAATTCAAAATTAGTACTGTAGCAGTAGCATGTAGGGTCGATCGCTCGGAACAGCTTTAACTAGAATTACTAACATCAAACCACTGGTCAAAGGTCTAATACGCTTGCCCTTCCGGCTCTAACAGTGCCTAAAATCGTACATGGCCATGCCGAAATAATTACAGACAATTAACTAGATGGGAAACACGTTGTTACAGATCTTGATTTGAATCTTGAGTGATTAGAGTCTTGAATACTATACATTACTTTTTTATTTGTAGATGATTTATAACTTAGGCATAACATATTCTATAGTTCCACTTAAAAATATTCGAGATAACATAATTCGTTGAAACTTTGATATCACAAGGAATATAATATCTGGACATATCGGTTAATTTTTCAGCAGATAAAGATTAACTGATTGTAGTTAAAATTCTTATTATAATTAAAAAATTAGCATTAGAATTCTGATTTACTATGATTGCGTTCAAACACTACTTTTAAAAATACAGATAATAAAAGAATTTCATACAATATAATTATAAATACTTTATTAATTGATTAATATTTCAACGATATAATTATTTCTGTTCGTATACCGTTATAGTAAGAATCTCGGTAGATGAATTAACATTCTTAAAGGTAGTTAAAAGGCTAATAGATTGCACAGTGAACAAATGAAGTCATGTGGTTGGCAACGTTATGCATATTTTCTATCAACAATTAAGTATTAACAGTAGATTGTATACACTGTGTTTATGCGTTTAGTATTTGATTCGAGCACATAAAAACATAATGGTGTCTATAAATAATATAAATATATTTAATTTCGGAAAGATATTTATAACATATTTGAGTGGTGCTTATACTTAAGTCAAACGATAGTAGAAAATAGATATAAATTTTAAGATTAGTACATCAAAGAATAGAGAATTTGTATATTTATTTCTCTCTTAATGTTGTCTTTGTAAATTCCAAATCATTTTTAATTGTAGTGTATTCCACACCGATCTTGACAAAAAGATACCTTCCGATCAATAAAAATAAAACTACAAAAATTTCTATTCTACAAAGAAATGTTCATTTAAATATTCGTCTATAATCCGTACAATTAAATCAAAATCGTCTAAACAATGTAATGTTTATGAAGTAAAAGGAGTCGTCTTGAACTGTCAATGTCTGCCCTATGTTTTACTTAAGATCAACACGACACAAACTTCCCATAAACATCTCGTAGTGAAACACGAGTCCACAAATTAATACGCGCCCTCGAAACCGAAAGTCTTTCCCCTCATCCTCAAGGAACAATCTCGAATGATATTAATTCAATTGAAACGCAGTAAAATGATATTGCAATCTTGCGGATCACTGCCGGGATTGCTGCATATGCAAACGCACAGTTCCCCTCGCATTCCAAACCCTCATCCCCTCGAGGGAAACCTTGTTTTATGCCTTCCTCTCGAGTCGATATCAGCACCAGATCGCTATCGCTGCGAATGTTTGATAGAGCAACGTTTCGCGGGATCGCTATGAAAGCGACCTCTCGTCGGTCACTGATTTCCACGAATTCAACTCCACTTTTCCTGGATTCTATGCTCGGTTGGTAGCACAGAAGGGGAGGGGAGAAGCGGGTAATCGCCACCCCGGATCACCTCCCTTTTTCTTGCTGGCAGCCTTTTATGCTAAACGCTCGCTTCATTTGAATGTCGCTAATGCGAAAAACCGATGCATACTAATGGGGAGTGTTTTCCTCCCTTTCTCACCCTCCCGTGACGGGCCAGGGGCCAGAACACCCCGAGATCACCCTCCCTCGTTTTCCATGCACGTGTCCGTACGTGGCGTTCGCGTGCACGCGTGTTTGCACACCGACCGGCCATTTCTCCGGCGACTCTTTATGTCATATGCATACATTAAGCCTGGTATACACGGTGCCTCGGAAGAAGCTGCGCGCCGCTATTGAAGATTTCAAGGCGTTCGAAAAAAAATAACCCAGGCAACTTGGCGGCGAATGCAAATCGTCGGGCTGACGATTCAGCTGTAATTTATGGTAAGCGTTGGCGCGACGGTGTACCTCCATAAGCCTGCGGAGACACCCTGTAGATAACCGTGGAAAGCCATCCCACGAATCTCTTAATTTTTTCATCGCGCGTCCGGTCTAGTTTCTTCGAAACTGTGTTGCAAGTTGCGAAGACGATCAGAATTGGTTTTAATACTATTTTGAATTGACTAATTTGAATATTTGAATTGACTAATTTGATTGGAATGAATGTCTCCAGTTTTCTTTTATTTCTGTTGGTATCATCTGCAAGAACTTATGACGTTCGACTTTTAAATTAAATTATTAGGTAACTCATTGGAAGTATTGGATTGTCTAGAAATTTCGTGCCAATTTTTAAGAAAAGTTCAAAGGCACATTTGAATTGTAATATATATTTATTGAATTACATAGGTACCATTTTTTCCATAACATTTCCATCTTTTAAGGAATATTGTTTGTTTTCAATCATTCCGATGTATTCAGACCTGTAATATCTACCAAAAATCGATATGGACTCTTCAGACAATCCAATACATATTTGTAAAATACATTAAGGAATAACAAATTGTCTATAGGGTCAATCAAAAGGGACTACACTATGGCCTTGATCTCTATTCCAATCATCTAATCATCATCCTTAACATGATAATCTTCCCAGGTCTTATAATACTTAATTTACACAGTGGCGGCATATGAATGCCTTTTAACAAATAAATGACTGGCAGATCTTGAAACGTAAATTTAAAGTTAAATCTCTAGATCATTCACAGGCAAGTATCTAATTTGCAAATTAGCTTCCAACCGGATTCCCACGGATCAGTTAAATTAACTGTGATTGCTTCGTGCCTGAAATCAAACATTATGACCGAACGGTACCTCAGGATAGCAGCGTTTCCGCGCGATTTCGCGAACGATTTAATCAGGAATTAATAGATCGCCGCGGAATCGATTCCCGGGGCTTCTAGGGTGGTTAATTAATTGCGCGTATATACTTGCCGAGGAAAGCTGAATCAACTGGAAATCCGAGACGTATCCAAGCCAAAACACGACGACCAAGAAACGCTCTGCATTCGATCGCTGAGCTTGCCAGCAAATAACGCGACTCGTCTTCCTCTACTTCGTGAACACCTTCCCCGAGGTTGGCTCAGATGCACGTCGGTATTTCTAGCACAATCTTAACTAGTGCTAGTCGAGAATCAAATTACTGCAATCGCGGATATCTGGTTTAACGTCTCGGGGAGACACGTGAATTATTCTCGGAGTTGAAGGATTTTCTGAGAGCGTGTTAAATGTCGTTTTGGTTTGGTCGAGAAGTCAAATTCGACCCCCCAATTTCAAAGTCAAGGTCAATTTTACGGAAAGTTTTTCAATATATTTTCGCCGATCACAGAGTGTAGTATCATCTCTGATAAGCCTCGACATAACATTTGTTTACACCCTGTACAGTTCATTTTTATGAACGGAAACAAGTTCTTCAAACTAGAGAGTCTGTTTAAAGAAAATACAATATATTGAATAAATTGCAATCAACATTGCAAACATAGGTATTTACAATAAACAACGTTCTACTTGCTGCGTCCTTAAATAAAATAATCCTGTGCAATGTGACATTTAGTTCAATAGGTTTTCGAATAGAATCAATTCTCGAAGGGAAATTTATAAGCTTAGTAGAACAAAAATGATACAGGCTTTGTGATTGAGAAGCCACGCATAGTTTACAGTTGATGCTCATTTTCAATATGAATAAGGCTACAAAAATGAAGTTTCGAAAGTGTTCGTTTTACTTTATGTTTGAAAGGAATGCTAATAAATTTGATAGTTATGCGATTATGGAAGTTCTCGTTGCTAATACCGCAATTTATAGGGCATAAACTTTTGCGACCGATTTTATTTTGCATGATATTGTCACGTCGATGCGCTCAGCGAGATACACTGACAAAGAGCTGCCAGGCATTCTACCATAGAACAGTTTCAATTTTATGGTAATTTGGAGTGGAGGGCGATGATAAAAGTTTCAGAAATTCTTCTGATGAGGTGCCTCGTTTGCGAACCACTGCTGTACACGAGGAGCGACGTTCCGTCATTAGCTCGACAAACGTTTCTCTGAGGGATGATTTTACAGCAGAAATAAACAAACGACACTTACCGTACAAGCGAATGCTGCCGTCGGTTTCACCGCGCGGATTTTTCGCGATGCATTTGTAGCTACCGTAATCCTCCTCCTGTAAAGCGGAATAATAACAATGTCAGAGTCGTCGAGTGACTTCTAGGTAAGTGCTCTTACAGAAAATTAAGGGTAAGTAGCATTAGTCGCATAATATTTATTGTAAAACGTCCCTCTGCACGAATATCAGGTTTTCTTTTTAAAATACTATTATACGTTCCTGTTAGTTACTTTTATTAATTGAACTTCGTAATTGTTTAACTTATTCGTGTTAAACGCAATTGCAAAGTTTGGTGTAATTTTGATTAAAACAGGAAAACTACCTTTTGTATGATGAGTTAAATTTTTGGTAAGATGTACTTATTGCACGAATATTAATTACGCCATATTAAGTTTATTTCTAAAATGCATGAAAATAGAGAATAAAATATGATTATATTGTAAAACGAATTATCCAAAATGAATGCAATAAGGAAAAGATTTTATTTGTATAAAATGTGAACCTACGATTAGACATGTTTTTCAATATTTATATATGTATCTATATAACCAATAATTAAATAATAAACTCAATACATTAAAAAAATCAACGCGTTAAGAAGATTTAATTATACGTGCATGAGAATCATTCATTTACTTTCTTATATAATGAAATTCAACAGATTTTTAGTATTTAGGAATTAAGTTAACATTTATACACACTCTATATTAAGATAAATATTAAATTAAATTAAAACGTTATGGAAAACGTGTATCATGCATATAAAATTACAAAAGTTAAAAATATTTGTTAAACAGTAAACGTTGTTTGCTCGTATATTTTTTAGCTTGACTTGCTCGATGTTGAATACGATAGTCCTGTTTGCGCGACTACTTGTCAATTTGTCTTTCGTTCGTTTCACCCGTTCCCGTTGGTTGAAACTTGCAAGATAGTCTTGTTGATAAGTTCCATTGCAACTGACTCGCGCTGCCGTTTGATTTATAAAGAACAAGTCCAAGGGGTCCAAGTAAAAGTAAAACTTCTATCTTTACTCGTTTGTACTTCTGAAATTTCTCCCAGACGCATTTATTATCCTTGTAAAAGCAACGCAATAAAGATCTCGCGGAAATAAAAGGACAGACGAGGGAAAAAATGGAACTGGGGGGGGGGGGGGTATATATTTCCTCGAGTCGACGACGCGAGGAAGTTCCTCTTTTCCAAGGGGCCGCGGGAATTTTAAGGATATCCTTTCCATACGTGAAAATAATTCGCGAATAAATCTCGCGAGATGTCGCGAAACTTTTCAAATATCACCTGTTGGTTTTCGAAGGTGTTGATGTCAGACAAAGTTAAGGTTAGAGAAGTATCTTCTGTTCGATTCGGATTGGAATCATTGTCACGAGATTACTTTGCGACTGGAAAGTCTTAGAGTTTTCTTGTTACTCTACTTTTTTTTTTTATGAAACAGCGTTACACTAATCAAGGTGCGCGAAAAGAAACTGATACCAACCTGTTAGCAGTCATGCATCTCGCTATACGTCTTTTGTTGATCAGAAAAAGCATAGAAACGACCCGATGTCGAGTTACGTGGATGTACGAGGCACTTTTTAAGTTAATAAATAGTTCGATTTTATTCCTTTATGGTGCATGCAAATATTAAAAAACCGTGTGCTAAACGTATAGAGCATGAATACATTTGTGTAAAATGAAATAATAATACTGTTATACTACATCATTTTATTCATTATAATCTGAGGTTAGATTGAAAAGCAGCCTCTAGCTGTACCTCTCCTTTATGCAAATTCAGCCACTCTCGTATTCAATATACAATGTACACCGCACCAGTGTGCACAGTGCAGATGTTCGACAATAATAATAATAATATTTGTAATTATATTCCGCGTAGGTCGTATACATGTTTTCCATATCGTCATGCACAATAAATAAAAGGTTCCCCAAGAAGGGTTTTAGGGTTTTGTTTTTTTAATAATAAAACAAATATGTCTGGGAGGTCACTTAAACGACACCATCATTCACATTCAATTCTCTACAAATTTCTGTACAAATTAGATATATTCAAGACCATTCGTGTTTTATTAGAAAACAAAATCCTAAAACATGAAGAACCCTTTAGGAAAAAAACAGAGACAAATGTTTCTCGCTGACCTGTAGGTCGTGTATGGTGAGCATCATGTGCGTTTTGTAGGTGGGTTTCTCTGGGGTAGACACGGTTCTGTATTTGTTACTTTCGTGAATCATCAAGCCGTCCTCCCTGGTCCAGTAATTCAAAGAAATCGGATGAGCCTCGGTGTGGCATTCCAACGTGACTGAGTATCCTAAGGGTGCACCGACCAATTGGTGCGGTATCCACAGCATAGGGGGAACTGCAACGAGAAAAGTGATTGATTGGCTCATAAATGTTCCAATTACTAGCGATACAAGGGAACCCAGCGATCGATAACCGTTCCAGCTCGATAAATCTCAGGCTGAGTTAGGTGAACACGCGTCTCCGCGCCTCCCGACCCGACTTCCTACGCGGGACAAAGCCAACGAACCGGAGAACGAGATCTACGTTCGAGTACGAATACCTTCTTCTGTAATTTACAGCAACGTTGCTTATGCATCCTGTTTGTTCATTAATGCGACGTTTGGTAGCGCTATGTAGCTATTTTAACGTATGGGATTTATTGTCAAAATTGCAAACACGTACGGAAGTAAAAGCAACATGATGGTAAGTAATGTATTTTAATAATGTTAAGCTTGGAACAATTTTTTAAGATTGAAAATCTTTTTATTTTCGAACAGCCAAAATTCATGTCTCGTTATATGGTGAAAAATGTTGCGAGGCGATAAAATGAGTGGGTAGTAACAGAGTAAATATGTCCCGTTAGGTTCTATTAGGTTGTCCCAAAAGTTTCTTCCGAAACTTGCACTCAATAATTTTGTGTGGCAGTGTTTATATAAATAGACAACCTAATTTATTAGATGTTAATATTGTATAACAGTAATGGAGGAAAATGAATCTTACGCAATTTAATAATGTACCATTAGACAAAAAATATTGTGTATGTATTACTTATTAATGAAATGGAAGAAACTTTTGGGACAACCTAATATTTTTGAGATATTTTTCTATATTTTAGTATCTACTGATTGGAACAACTAAATATTAATTTCTGACAATAATTAAATTCATTATTAACAATACTTATTATTTAAACAATGATGGGAATATGATTTTGCTGTGATATTAATCTTATACGAATTATTTTCTCGATGGATTCAACAAGCCTTCGAATCGAGCGTCACGCGGTTGTCGTTCGCCCTTCCCTTTCCCTACTTCGAGAGGCACACGCGAATCGCGACCCTCGACCGACACAGGTATACGAGGGTCACGATCTCATTCTTCGACGATCCTTCGGTCGATATGGATCTCGCGATCGCGCGTCCGTGTCTCGCGTCCCTCCTATTTTTGCTTGTGTAGTTTCCCCTAGTTATCGTAGCTTGGTATTGGTTGTGGGTACCTTAGTTTAGTTTGGTTAGTTTTAAGGCATGTATGTACGAGAGTCTGTCGTCTGTCAAATAATTATTAATTATTTGTTCAAATCTTTTGTTTGTTCGTAGGTCCATATTGGACTCGGAACTTCGTTCTCCACTTCGGTCACTATTACTTCATGTGATAAGTGAAGTGACCAACTGTGTAAGTGGACAGAAAGGTCGGTTGCCGTCCTCCTGGTGGATTTGTATTCGAGAGGAAGACAATCGGCTCCTCCGGATCGGTCCTCTACTCTCTGTATCCCGTCTGGTGTAGTCCAGGCTCCCGGCGCAGTGCAGTAAGTCCAAAGCGCAGTGAGACGGGTGCAAGTCGGGTCCGTCGTGGCTCCTAAATGGGTGCAGGGTGTGGAGGACTGGTTCGGAGGCGTCGGTCGTCTTCCTCTCGAGTCCAGATTCAACAAGAGGAAACGGGACTGACTCAGTAAGTCCAGTTTCATGGTCGCGTCGCGTCGCGTCGCGATCTCAATTTAGCTTCACCCTCTTAGTTCAAATAATTATTTGGCAAAGTCAGACATAGACTTTGGAAATCGAAGGGAATTTTGTTTTCCTTTGATTTTCATAGTTTCGTACTTAGTATTAAGCTCGTCGACTCTATGTAGAGTATGCATCTACGTATGTATACTCTATGTAGAGGGAGATCGAAGGAACTTTGATTCCTTCTATCTCCGGGTCTCCAGTCGCAGCAACCTCCACGAGGTGAGACCTGGTAATCGGTATTATTCGTGACGAACAATCCTTCGTCACAAATAATATCGAGCTAATGGCTGCGAACTTGTAGAGTGTAAAGTGTAAAGTGAAATTAGAGTTAGATTAGTCAAGCGAACGATACGCGTCCATAGGATGAAACACTATGTGTTCGAGGTTCAGACCCTATGAAAAATTAATTATACCTTATTATTCTATTATTGATTTATAATACCCATTAACACATTTAGAACATTTCTAAAATAACAAGTGGAAAAGAAGATAACATTTTTCTTGTATTTGTATCGATCTTTGTGTAGTTTCATTTTTATTTGAATTACTCTTAATTACTTTGCTTTCGTTATAAAGTAAATGACTAACAAAATGTATAAATGTTGTCATTTTACATCCAATATTAAATAAAATACATTTGCTACGGAATGGAGTTTTAAAATGTACAGGATTATTTGTTGACATTACTCGTTAAATAAGAATTAAAGTTTGAATTATGGAATGAAGTATTTCACATAGAACAATTAAAAATTTAAGTGTTTAATCGAATAAACGTCACGAATAAATTACTACACGTTGCCATACTATTTTCTACTCGAATGCAATTTTATCTTTGATTAAAGGTAATAGTCAGAAAAGCACGACAACGTTTTAAGTCTATTCTTGTTTTAAACGTACCAGGTCCGCGTAAAGAATGAAGACAAATGCCGACGATATTTTATGGAAATTCGATAGAGTTCCTCGAATTAAAAGAACAAAAGTAGTGCGCCATTTTTTGCTGTTTTACAGCGTTGTGATGGATTGTCGTTTCTAATGGGAGCGCGAGGAGGAGAAGGTGGAAATCTGTACGTGTCGTAGAAGCGTATTAACGTTACAGAAACTCCGGTCAGCTACGAAATCGAACATTTATTTTTTATAAGCTGTAGATCGAGTAAACGTTAAAATCGATGACCTCCAGCTGCGATGAAGGATTAAGCTTTCGTGCAACACATGTTGCGCGTTTGTTAAGGAAAGGTCTTCCACGCCCATCAAACGGTTCGTGTTTTACAGTTTTCATGTCAAATGATCATTCGCTACAAACATATTAAGAAAAATAAAGTATATCGAATGTGGATGAGCTGGATTATTTCAAGGTTACAAACAAACTTATGGGAAATTGAGGTTGAAAGTAAAATGAAGAGGCATGTGAGAATACAAAATAATATGAATAAAAGTTACAGAAATATATCGAAAACTTCTTGCTCCAAACGTTATACTTCTGCTTTTACTTCATCCTATATTATTTTAGTTACTAAGCATACGTAATAAGAATTCAAAAATTTTGTATTATACATATTAGTTACAAAGACATAAAATAACAATTCAAAAAATTTTTTGGTAGCCAATGTGTGTTTATTAATGTTGTATTAATTAACGTATATTAATATACATATATTAATGCGTCAGACTAAAATCAAAATTATCACTATTCTCCACCTTGTACCCGACGTCATACTTAACATGGATACGCATGATACCCCTACCATTTCCGAAACATTAAATCTCGAAAGATAAATCCTGTAGACTTAACTACGTCCATCGCGGAGAACCCTCAATAAAAACGTAATTTCGTCGTGACGAATGGTTTTCCATAGAGGTCTTCCTGCTTCCGTTAATGCTTTCATGGGATGGGAGTGCTTTAATTTAACTTAAAACCTCCTAACAATACATCCAGCTACTTTGAACTTTCGCTTGAACTTTTAGTCATATTTTTCTAGCCGGTACGGGGTGAGTGAACCGATGCTTAGGTTAGGTTAGATTACTTGGAAATATGTGGAACAACGAACGGAAAAAAATGATGCAGAGAGCAGGTAATGGCAGGTACTCGCAATGAAAATTTAAACGAACGAGAAAATATCTATTTGATGTGATTATAGTCTTGACAAGATACAGTATTCAACATTTCTGGCTATAATTTTAGATTTTTGGAGTAGATTAATATGTATAATAATGATTAAATTAAAATAAAATAATAATGATACATAGTGAAGAATAACGTATGTTTCTTCCTAATGATAGAATACAAATAAAACGTGATAAGAATATTAAAATAAAAAAGACAATAAAAATTATGCACTAGTTTCATGAAGGACACCTTCGTAAATTAGGTAGGTATGTATCGAAATTATTATTTGAGTAGACTTGCTAAACAGTCACAGAAAATATGTCGACTGTAATTAAAGCATTCCTCAATATTATAAAGTGTATAATATTATTAAAATAAACAGTAATAAGACAAGAATAAAAATATGACTAATGGTTATATATCTGAAGGATCTGAACAACCATCCTCGATTGTGAAAAACATTTAAACGAATTTATAATTTCTACAAAATACCTGGTCGAAGTTCAGTATTTGAGATTTAATCACTTTGAATAGTAATGAAGTGTCCGTAACGCTCGAATATTTATTATTTAAATGAAACGGTTAAATTTGTAATTAAAGAAGCGATCGATAAAGTCGATAGAATAAACGTTAAAAGGCATCAATATTTTTAACCTGTAAAAAAGTAAAGTTCAAGAACCTAAATTTGGTTTTATTTTCACTGTACTTAATAATATTCCTTCGACATATTCTAACATAGTTTCATCCGTAATACAGATGTCACGATTATTGGCATCTATCAATAATGATAAAAATAATAACGAGTATGTGAAAACTTTTGTAGATATAAATAATTATTCCATAAATGGGTTTAAACAGAGATAAATATCGGATATTTGACATTTATTACTTTAAGAAACATCGTTCTAGTTACAAAAGTAAATTAAAAAAAACACTTTTACTCCTACGAAAAGTCAACAATCTTTGACCAAGTCGTCGAAATGAATAAACTTCTTGAATGAACTCGCTAAAATAGAATTACTGATATTTCCGATGTTTAAGAAATTACTTTGTATTAAAAAATAGTTTTAAAGTCAATCTACAACAGAATACACATCGCGCATGGAAAAAGTTAATACAATCACCTCATTATTTGTTACGTCAGTACGGATTTCACATTCAAAGAAACTTTCCAAATTGTGTAGTTCTGAATTCTCGTAATTTCAACAATGGGTTTACAGCGCAGAACTGTATCAAGAACGGGAAGAA